CTGGGCTCAGAGGGAGCGTCCGAGTGAGTCGGTGCCGGGCCCTTAAGAGGAGCTGCTGGGGCTCCCGCAGCCTCCACGACCCTCAGGGACAATCCCTGCTGGTTTCACAGCCCGGAGTTGTGGGGACGTCTCTTCCCGGCCTGGAGCCCTGGGCTGGGACCTGCTGTGGGGCTGGGACCTCTCACTCCTCCGGGAAACCTCCCACCGCCGAGCTCCCTCCCGGGTTTAACCCGCGGCACCGGGTGTGGGCCTGCGGCCGGGTCTCGGTGATCCAGCCCTGACCCGCCCATGTCTCCGCCCCTCCAACCACTCTCAGTGCTTCCTCAGCTCCCTGGCTGTGGGGCTTCTGTGCAGCCAGATCTCAAGAGGCTCTGAGTGCTGGTGGTTCTGGATTTTAGTTGTAATTTTGATGTGGTTGTGGAGGCGGCGGGTGCAGTTGTTACCTACACTGCCATCTTGTTTCTCCCCAATTTTTACCATTTNGTTGTGGAGGCGGCGGGTACAGTTGTTACCGACACTGCCATCTTGTTTCTCCCCAATTTTTACCATTTTGATAACTGGTATTATTATTTTCTCATTACAAAAGTATTAATTTGCTTGATGCAAAAATCATTAAAACCGTGGTAGCCCTGGCCCAGCGTGACTTGGTGGTTAGAGCACTGGCCGGCAGACCAGAGGGTCACTGGTTCAATTCCCGGTCAGGGCACATGCCTGGGTTTTGGGTTCCATCACCAGTCAGGGTGTGTGCAGGAGGCAGCCAATCGATGTTTCTCTCTCTCTCTCTCTCTTCCTCTCTCCCTAAAAATCAACAAAAACATATTTAATCAAACAAAAACACCATAGCATAGACAGGGACACAGGAGAAGCCACAGGCGGCTTTGTGTGCCACCACCACGGGGAGCCACGTTTGGGAGACTGTGTCTTTTTGGTTTCTGTTCTAACATATTGACTTCAGGAAAAATACCCCAGTGTCAACAGTTCCCCCATAGTCTCACCATTCCCCAGTATCGAGAAATATCCTGCTAGAGCATCTCTATGGTTGCACAGTATTTCATATTGTGCTCATGTCACAACGTACCTAAGTCATGCTCCCTTGTTGAATACTTGGGTCACGGCCAGGGTCCTGAAAGGTTTGCCCTTGGAGATGAGAGCACAGTTTCCTGTGTGATGTTGGAGATGCTGGAACCCTGGGTGGGCCTCATTGTAAGAGGCCTTTCTGGGCCCTGGCTGGGCAACTCAGTTGGTTAGAGCATCCTCCCGGGACACCAAGGTTGTGGGTTTCATCCCCAGTCAGGGCACATACAACAACCAACCAATGATGCATAGATAAGTGGAATAACAAATTTATCTCTCTCTCTCAAATCAATAAATTTAAAAAAAAAAGAAGCCTTTCTGTTGTACCATCCAGAGTGTGGATTCCCCACAGTGCAAACAATACTCAAAGTTTGCTGGTAATTAATGGTGATTTCTTTCCGGCTGACTCTAGTGAGAAGCGTAGCCACAGACCATGCATCTGGAGAAGGAAGGTGGCCGGCTGGGCTCCCACGAGCTAGAGGTGGAGCTCCATCAGACGTCGGCTCCCACGCGTGCTGGCCTGGGCTTCACCACCAGCGGCCGCAGGCCACAGCGGGGACTCAGCGGGGCTGACCCCACGAGCCCCTACCCCAGCGGGGCGGCCGGGCAGAGCTGCTGGGTTCCTGTGGACCAGGATTTTGCTTCCTTCCTCACGGAGCGGAGGTGAGTTGAAAATGGTTTTACATTGACTTTCCACGAGTGTTGTTCCCCCACATTGTTTGTGGGAAAGATTTCCAGATATTATGCAGGTAATAAAAATATAAAAGAGTTCTTAGCATAAAGATTTAGCATTTACTATATTATTTAAGGCATTAAAAGTATTACATGAATTTAAATGCATATATTATATATCTTAGACCCTGTTTTATTTCCAGAAATATATCAACAAATTAATTGAATATTGTTTTTCATGTCAGAAAAATATGGATTTACATAAAAAAAACTTTTCATAAACCCTTAAAGAGTTACCAATACAAAAGCAATAAATAGATATACAAGTAGTGTCTTGTGAGTGTCTTGGTTGCCCTGCACATCTTGGTCCCCATGTCCCCTGCACTGAGGACAGCCTGTCTTTGCAGCACCAGAGCATCACAGAGATGCAGTGTGTGTGTGGTCCTGCCCCTGCCTTGGTCCCGCCTCTCCCTTCTCCAGGCCAGGCCTGTCCTGACTTCCCGTCCTGCTCACCAATGTGCCTGGGCCCCCTGCCACATGTGTTCATGGATCACTGAACAGCGTAGACTCTCCTTTCACACATGGTAAAACTGGGAGTCGCTCTTTTTAGTCACCATATTTTTGAGATTTTAGCCACGTTGATGCCTATAATTCTAGTTAAAAACATTTTTTTTTTTTTAAACTTTTCAATTACATTTGACATTCAATATTATATTAGTTTCTGGTTTACAGCAAAGTGGTTAGACATTTATATAACTTACATGGTCCCCACCTGGCTCCATACATAGTGATTACAGTATTACTGACTAGATGTATTGTTAGATTTTTTAAATTCAGATTTTTCTTGTTTCTTGCAGTAGGCCTGTATTGCTATGACTTTTCCTCTTAGAACTGCTGTGGCTGTGTCCCATAGATTTTGGATTGTTGTGTTTTCACTTTTATTTGTCTCAAGGATCTTTTGATATCCTTCTTGAACCTGACTTTAAAAATTCATTTACATGTAAACAGAAGGACTGAAAGGAATTTCTCTAAATGTTAACAGCCGGTAGTATGAATTATAGAATTATATACAATTGCTGTTCTATTTATTATCCTCTTCTGTTAGTTTCCAAGTTATTAAAAATGAATATTGCCTGCCTATAAACTTGCAAGTGCATAAGAATTCTGCAAACCTATACACAGAGTTGCTGAGACATGGGGGCCTTGACAAAAATTCCCAGAGAGGTGCATTAAAGGAGAAACTTTATCAGGTGACTAGTTTACAAACTGGGGAAATGAAGCCTCTGACAGAATCAAAAGTGGGCTCCTTTGAGATAAATGGGAGGCTGCCTTTAATAGAGAAAGTTCCTGTTGAGGTTCCCAATTGGTCCAATTTTATGCAAACAGAGTTTCCAAATTCATACAGTTCTGATTGGTCCAAATCGTGCATTTCTGATTGATTGGTATAATGCTTTGGTTGTTATAGAGCAGTTCTGATGGGTTGGTTTAGGTGCAAATGAAAATATAATTGTGCAGTTCCGATTGGACAGAGCAGGTCTCAGTTCTCTGGTTGAAGAGGAAACCAGGAGCTCCCCCCTTGTAATAGTTGACTCAGGTGGAGGAGCCCAGTGCAGGGGGTTAAAAGCTCAGTCTGTGGCCTTTCCCTGAAATGCAGCATGTGTGTGTGGCCTCCACCAGCTACTGCTGCTGGACTCTGGTTATGAATTTGGCCCAGCTGACCACAAGGTGTCCTTCTTGGCAGATATATTTCTCTCTGGGTTCACAGGGGAAAATGCATACTGTTGAAATTTGTGAATTTTGAGCACACCCAGGTTTAGATGTGGAGTCTGAGAAATGTCAGTGTGATTTCTTTCTTTTAGAAAGAGGAAAGGTCAGGAAAAATATAGATTTCATCAATATTTTTACCTTAATTAAGTCAGAAAAGAAAATGCCAGGCTTTCAGCTCTGAGGACTGCCATTTTAAAAATATGTTTTAAAAATTGATTTCAGAAAGAGAGAGAGAAAGGGAGAGAGAAACATTAGTGGGCTGCCTCCTGAACGCCCCCTCCTGGCGGTTGAGCCCACAACCCAGGCATGTGCCCTGACCACGAATCAAACTGCTGAGCTCTCAGTGCACAGGATGAAGCCCAACCAGCTGAGCCACCCGGGCCCGAGCAGGACGGCCGTTCTTATTTCCAGACTCTGGACCGTGTGTTTCCTGGGCAAGCCTGAACCTTCCCTCCATTCAGGTGGGAGTTCCTGTCCTTCCTCTCAAATGGCACATCAGGGATCTTGTGAAAAAATAAGGGAAAATAAAACCTAGACAGTGTTGAATTAAGTTTAAATTCGGAATGTCCTGAAGTCTCTTTGGGAAGCTTCCTAGTGAAACTCATGTATATTGTTGGCTCTTTAGAAACAGAGCTAAATATAAAAAAGCTTAGAAACCACTCCCTGTGCACTTAACTACAATTATACTTCGTGTACAGAAAATGCAACAGAAACGTTAAACAATGAGACCAGCCAGATGCGCCCACCTCGGAGAAAATAAAATGCACTTTGTCGTTCCCTGTTTGGAAATTCCCTCTTTCATGGCAACGAGGTGAATTCTCCGTGCTGTGAAATTGGGAGGCGGCTGTGAGCTGTCCCGGGAGCCCATGGGTGGTGCTCTCTCAGGGGTAATTGCATCTCTGCTTTGTGAGCACCCTGAAGTGAGGGCTAACAAACAAACAAAGAAACAAACAAAAACCTACATTGAACTGGGCACCACTTAAGGTACCAGATTGAACATGATGGAAATAACACGGCAGCCACTCATAGGGGGCCACGGTCTGATGGAAATCGTTGAATCAATAGCCAAACTCATTTATGTTTCCCATTTGCATTCCCTTATCTAATGCAACAAAACTGGCTTTTTTCCTTTTAATATGCATCATATAGCTGAGAAAATGGGCGCTCAGGGTGGTTAAACGAAGCGGGTGAGGTCAGGGTAACAGTCAGCTCTCCCAGAAATGCCGTGTAACAAACCAACCGCACCGAAGACCTGGGTATTAGCTGATTCCTCGAGACATTTCTCTAAATGCACCTGAGGCCCTTCTGGATTTGCAGTTATGAGAGATGAAGATTTAAATGCCCAACTAGCCTGGCCGGTGTGGCTCAGGCATCGTCCTGTGCACCGAGGTCGCCGGTTCAATTCCCGGTCAGGGCACATGCCCGGGTTGCGGGCTCGATCCCCGGTGGGGATGCTCAGGAGGCAGCCAATCGACGTTTCTCTCTCACATCAATGTTTCTCTTTCTCCCTCTCCCTTCCTCTTTCTCTAAAAATTAATTTAAAAAAATATTTGAAAAGCCCGGCTAACCCTTTCCGCCAGTTTGAGCAGCTAAAATCGCACTGTTACGAAATCCCAGGCAGAATTCACCTGTCCCCTCTCTGCTCTCACCTGGGCCAGGGCACCTGTACACCTTGCACCCAGTCACCCATGTTCCTGTAGGAAGTGCCCACGGCAGCCCAGGCGCTGTGCCCAGCGGACGCTCACTGGCCTGGGACAGCTGGGGCCCTGTCGTTCATCCAGGAGACCAGAGTCTCATTGTCTGTGACAGGAAAGCAGCTGGAAATATTTTTCTTCATTCCTGTCCCGGTGGCTCAGTGGGTTAGAGCGTCACCCCCGATACGCCAAGGTTGCAGGTTCGATCCCCGGTCAGGGCGCATACAAGAGTCAACCAATGAGGCCTCGATAAGTGGAGCAGCAGGTGGCTGTCTCTGTCTCCCTCTCTCCCAGTTTCCCCTTTGCTCTGCCCCGTGGTCTGAGTCGCCTATGATACTTCCCCAGGTGAGGGTTCCTGCCTCCACGGCAGCTCCGCGCGGCCCGGGCTCCGTCTAAAATGCCACATTCCCGATAATTAGGAAAGAAAGNTGCCGATACTTCCCCAGGTGAGGGCTCCTGCCTCCACGGCAGCTCCGCGCGGCCCGGGCTCCGTCTAAAATGCCACATTCCCGATAATTAGGAAAGAAAGTGATTCCTTCAACTTTTCCTGTAGAGCGGGTTGCTTTGAAAGGTCGGGTGCCCTTGGATGAGGGTGGCAACCCGGCTGGTGGGACCTGTGTCCCTGCAGCTGTCCCCTCCGGAACAACTTGGGGTTTGGATAAGTTCGTGGTGGCCTCTCCTCCAGGGGTCAGGCAGCTGCACTTGGGTTTGCTTCAGCCGTGGCTTCGGTCCCCGGAGAGCCCCCCACACCCCCTTCCCCATTCGTTTCACGCGACTCCATGGGCCCTGCCTTCTGCTGCGTGGTCTCCCAAGGGAAGCCCTTAGGGTATTTTCAATGTGCGATGTTTCAGTACTGTGATCTTGGGAAACAGAATTTTCTGAGTATAAAGGGCCCGTCAGACAACGAACGGGTTTCTTTTTATTATTATTATTTTTGTTAATTCTCACCTGAGGATATTTTTTTCATGGATTTTTTTTTTTTTTAGAGAGAGAGTGGAAGTGAGGGAGGTAGAGAGAGAGACACATCGATGTGAGAGAGATACATGGATTGGTTGCCTTGAGCACGCACCCCAACCGGGGCTGGAGATCGAACCCGGAACCCAGGTACGTGCCCTGGACTGGAATCAAACCCGAGACCCTTTGGTGTGCCAGCCGGTGCTCTGACCACTGAGCCACACCAGCCAGGGCGAAAGGGTTTCTGGAGGAAAAGCTCTGCCTGGAGTAACAGATCCTCTGGAAGCGTCCTCGATGCTAACGTGAGTCCAACAATATGACTGCCCCAGAGCTCCGGGCCTTCTCCGCGCCCCTGCTCTGCCTTCCAGCCTGGTCCACCCTGGGAGGAAGTGTGTTCCGAACAGTCTCTCCCAGACCTTCGGCTTTCTACAGCGCAGATTTAACCAGATCCTCACGCAGGTTTGTCACTGCCTCTTGCTGTGTGCGCCCCCTGCTGCTGGGGAGGGCGCCAGCCTTTCATGCTGGTGACTGTCCTCTGTGTCTTTCAGGTTTCAGGCACCTTCACCCCAGTTCTGCCGCTCCAGGGCCATGGAGCCCTGCTTTACAGAAACCACTCCATTGCTGGGGAATTCCTCCCAAGACAAAGGGTGAGTCCCCGCCTCGCTTCTGCCCAAATTCAGGAACCTCTGAGCATTGCCCTGGGCTTGGATGTGGGAGAGTTTCCTTCTGAGACATGAACTTGCCCCTGACATGTTTGGCTTCTGCCAGTTCCGTGTCATTTCAAGGTCCTAGGTGTTCATGACTCTAGTGCTTGTGTTCTGTGGCTTATGAATTTCTGCGTGGCCTTGAGCATGACCCTGCCGTGATGAAGTAGCACCTGTCCGCTCAGGCTCGCGCACTCGGACCCAGCAGGCCAGGGCTTCTCAACCAGGGTAGCTGGCGCTGTCTGGGGATATCTTTTTTTATTTTTTTGTTAATTCCCACCTGAGGATATTTTTTCCAATGATTTAAATTTTTATTTTTATTTTTAGAGAGAGTAGAAGGGAGGGGGAGAGAGAGAGAAACATCGATTCGTTGCTCCACTTATTTCAGCATCATTGATTGCTCCTTGGGTATGTCCTAAATGGGGATTGAACCCGAAACCTTGGCGTTTCTGGATGAAGCTCTAACCACTGGGAACCCGACCGGGGCCCAGCTGGTGTTTCTTGAAGGCCCACACTCATTTTGAAGATTCGAGTGACTCCAGATTTCTCTGTGATGTCCAGAGGGCCCGACCCAGCCCCTCAACGTCTGTGAACCTTTTCAAAGCCGGCATGGAGCCCGCCTTTCACACAGCACCAGGAGGTGCAGCCTCGTTTGGAGACGGACCTATTCCCGTGAATATAACCCCAGTGCTTCTTTCCAGGTCGCGGTGCCTGGCCGTGTGCCACCCGGAGCTCATCACCGCTGAGTCCTGGGACGCCAGCTCGGCCGAGTGGGAGGGCAGGTCGTTGCTGAGCAGTGAGGCGGCCGGGTCCTCCCGATCCGCCTCCTCAGACAAGGGCGACCTCTTGGAAGGCGCTCAGGCCCGGCTCCGTCTTTCCAAGCTGAGGTAGGGGTGCGGGGAGCGTCATGCGGCACAGGGTGACGGTCCCCAGCGCAGCTGCTGGCCTGGGATGAGGCTGGGGTCTCGCCCTTAGACGTCCCTCCCACCCTGCACGGTGAAGGTGAGGGGAAGGGCTGTCACACTTTTCCCAGAAGACGTGTCAGGTGGACCATGGCCACTGTTTTGTCCCATAGGTACATTAAAAAAAAAAAGTCTTTATTGATTTTAGAGAGAGGACGGGAGAGGGAGAGAGAGAAACATCAATGAGGAGAGTCATTGATCGGCTGCCTCCTGCTCGCCCCCTGCTGGGGATCGAGGAGCCTGCACCCCGGGCCTGTGCCCTGAGCGCGAATCGAACCGCAATCTCCTGATTCCTAGGTCAATGCTCAACCGCTGAGCCACACTGGCCGGGCAGCTTCCTTTATTTGAAGGAAGGGCCCTTACTGAGAGCAATGTGTCTGAAAGTGGTGTCTCCAGGGACAGACCGAGCCTTGGGGACCAGGACCACAGGGTCCCCATCCAGATCTGAGGCAGCTGAGGGGCTGGTGCAAGCACGTCCGTGTGACTGTCCTTGTCGCCTGATGTCCCCTCACTCCACGGCCTTCCACTAACGTGGTCTGTGGGAAAGTCAGCCTGCGGAGAGGCGAGGAGACCGCATGCAGCCGTCAAGCGTTAGTGTCACCATTTCTCTGCATCAGGGGACCGATCTTTTTTGTTGTTGTTAATCTAGACCAGAGGATATTGTTCCGTTGCAGAGAGAGTGGAAGGGTGGGAGGCAGGGAGGGAGAGAGAGAGAAACATCGATGTGAGAGAGAAACATTGGCCTCCCACACGCACCCCAACTGGGGATCCAACCGGCAACCCTTCAGTGCACTGGCTGATGCTCTAACCACTGAGCCACTGGCCAGGGCAGAAAGCTTTTGAAAAAGATGTCCCAACACACACTCCTTCGTTCTACAAGCATGTGCCAGCTCAGGCTGAGTGCCAGGGGCCTGCCCAGTGCGGGGACAGAGCACTGGCAGTCGGGGTGCCCTCGAGGAGCATCTGGTGGGGAGCACCCAGGCCTGGGCGGCGATGGAATCACTGGAAGACAGGCTCTGGTGGGTCCGGGGAGGTGATATGAGCAGAGGTGGGGCTGGAGGCACGGCCAGGCCCAGGTTCACCTCGGGCTGGAGGGCCACGGTCAAGTGTGTAGTGGTGACGGGGCCTGGACGCCATCAGGAGTCCTTAGAGGGGCTGAGCGTGTGGCCTGATTGTCTATTAAATTATCTCCTAAGAAATTCTTTCTTTTTTTTTTTATTTATTATTGATTTTAGAGAGAGAAAGGGAAAGTGAGAGAGAGAAACATCGATTTGCTGCTTCACTGCTTCACTTATTTATGCATCCCTGGTTGCTGCTTGGATGTGCCCTGACCGGGGATCGAACCCGCAACCTTGGCCTCTCAGGAACATGCTCTAACCAACTGAGCTACCCGGCCAGGGCTCCTAAGAAATTACTTTAAAAATAATTGATTTCAGAGAGAGGGAGAGAGGGAGAAACAGCACGGTCGCCCCCTGACCTGACCGGGACCCGCCTTTCCTCCCGCAGGCGCTGTGCGCGGTGGCTGAGGGTCGCGGGCCTGTTCGCCTTCGTGGTGATGTGCTCGGTGAGTGCCGTGCCGAGGTGCGGGGCCCCCGCGCTCCAGGAGGAGAGGCGGAGTGCGTGTCCGGGTGGCCAGGGAGGCCCTGAGCAGTCTCCTCTGGCCTTGCCCCATGTCCCACAACAGAAGCCCCAGCGACCTGGCTTTGCTCCGTAGAGGCAGTTAGCGTGCCCCAGGCCTCCCCACCCCGCATGGCTTCCCGAATTCTCTTTCAACCCCACGCGGTAACATGCGTTCTTGGCGTGGGGACATGTCCAGTGGTCATGGTGGCCCCTGGAATGTCTCAGTGTCCTTTAGAGATGGTGCCTCTGCCTGGCTAGGCCAACCTGTTTATGCCAGCAGGGCTCTGGAGGTGACACGGGTGCCCTCGGACATGCGGGGAGCGTGTCTCAGCTGGGGCATTTGTGTGGGCCGTGTCTTGACGTAGCCTGAGCCACTCAGAGTGTCTCCTGGATAAATGGGTGTGTGGTCTGCTGTGTGTATCTGTATGTGCACATGCGTGTGAGGTCCCATGTCTGCTGTGTGTATCCATGTGTGCACAAGTGTGAGGCCCCCGTGTCTGCCGTGTATCTGTATGTGCACATGCGTGTGAGGTCTCATGTCTGCTGTGTGTATCTGTGTGTGCACGTGTGTGTGAGGCCCCCTGTGTGTGCTGTGTATCTGTATGTGCATGTGTGAGGCCCTCTGTGCTGTGTGTATCTGTATGTGCATATGTGTGTGAGGCCCCCTGTGTGTGCTGTGTATCTGTATGTGCACACGTGTGTGATTACTCACAAGGAGGAGGTTGTTGGTGCAGAGAAAGCATGAAACAAAGCACACTGAACTCTGCAAAGATCATGATTTCACTTTTTTGGCTACCAATTTCCCTCTCTCCTTTCTCTCCACACAATTGTGTGGCTCTGTCTCCCCTGCGGCTTGGCCGGGGCTGGGGGGTGGGCACCCCGGGATTTCCCAGGAGGAGGTCAGGGTGGGCCAGTCTCCCTGCCAGAGAGCTGACCTGTCCTTTGTGTCCAATTCCCCCTGAGAGGTGGAGTTTTCCGTTTGTGGACACATCCAATGTGGAGTTTGAGGAGTTAGTTTTGAATTTCCATAGTCTGGCATCTCACCATTCCTTTAATTTCTTTCTTTTTTTTGTAATCCTCACCCAAGAATATTTTTCCCATTGATTTTTTAGAGAGTGGAAGGGAGGGAGGGAAGGGGAGAGGGAGATACGTCAATGTGAGGGAGACACATCGACTGGTTGCCTCCTGCACACGCCTGACCCGGGGCTGGGGCATCAACCCATAAACCAGGTTCGTGCCCTTGATTGGATCGAACCCTCGACCCTTCGGTGCTCAGGCCGACGCCCTAACCACTGAGCAATCCCAGCCAGGGCATCCTTTTAATTTCTAATGGTGTAGAAGGTGGTCTGAAAATTCCACCATCGTGTGGGATGTTTTCCGTGCTGTGTGTGTGGGAAACCACATGTACCCCCCTCTGATGATTTAATTTTGTGGCTGAGTATTTATTCCTTAAAATTGGCAAATATCAATAATCATGGCCCATAGTATAATGGGTCAGAACTTTGTTGTAATATCTAAGAAAATCTATTCGGAGTAAGCTGGTGAATTTGGGATACGTCAGTCAACACCATTACCACACCCCTATTTTCAACTGTTATCAAAATTACATAAACTGGTTGCTCTCACCCCACCAACCCTTCATAAAGCGTTTCTGGTTGTTGCAGGTTTCCTTTAGCCTGTATCCAGACCAAGGGAAGTTCTGGCAGTTGCTGGCTGTGTCACCGCTGGAAAGCTACTGTATCTAAACCATGCATGGGACGGGAGGTGGACGTGGCCCGTGGTTGAGAGTCACAGAGCAGAGACACCCAGGAACTGTTCCAGGTGTCACCCAAGGGCGTAGACAGGCCAGACGTGGAAGGAAAGACGGGGCCTCGGAACAGAAGGAGAGGGAGCGTTAGCCTGTGGTGGGTGGTTGGTGGTGAGGTTCCCACGCGAGGTTGACGCTGCCGAGGGTCACATTGGTTAGGGCCTGGGGTCCCCCTGCTCTGGGCCACTCTGTTGAGCAGCCCCCTCGCCGTTTCCTTTTGCGTTTCAGCTTGGGTGATTCCACCCACCGGCTGCCAGGTTCAGTGGTTCTGTTCCTGGCTGTCTCCCTGGTCTGGCGACTGCTTGGTTCCTTCACTGTGTGTTTTCTCTTGCCCTCCTGTAGGCCTCATGGCTTGTCGTGAAAAGGCAGACGTGTGTGTAGGGTAGACGTTCTGAGCGTGTCAGTCAGCTCTGGCTGACTGTGTGGCTTCAACAGGAGACGCTTATTTCTGGAGTTCTGGAGGCTGGAAGTTCAAGGTCAAGGTGCCGGCTGATTTGGTTTCGGTGAGGGCCCTCTTCCTGGCTTGCAGACCGCCACCTTCCTGCCATGTGTGGAAGGAGAGAAAGCTCTCTCTTATCTCTCTCTTTATTTATTGATTGATTGATTTGAGGGAGAGAGAGGAAGGGAGGGGAGAGAGAGAGAGAGAAACATTGATTAGCTGTTCCACTTATTTATAAGCATTCGGTGGTTGATTCTTGGACATGCCCAGACCAGGGACTGAACCCGCAACCTTGGTGTATTCAGACAACACTCTAACAAAAAACCAATTGAGCTACCCACCAGGGCTGGTGTGTCTTTCTTATAAGGACACTAATCCTGTGAGATCAGAGCCTCGTTTCAGCTCAGTTGCTTCCTTAGAGGCCCCCATCTCCAAACACAACCACGCGGGGGTGGGGGGTGGGGGTGGTCAGGCCTTGAACATAGATTTTGCAGGGTCCATAGCACCGAGGTGAAGCTTGGAGGGGAGTGGAGCTTAAGTGAGCACGAGGTGAGGGGTTGGTGTAAACTCGGTCAGAGGTGGGCAGTGCTGCTCCTGCGGTTGCCGTGGTAACCTTTCTCTGGCTGTCTGCCAGGCGGGGCCACGGGGGAGAGCTTTCCCCTCTTACCGCCCACAGCTGCCTGGTGCCCCTGCGCCCTCAGGCTGCCAGATAGGATGCGTCCCCAGCAAACCAAGAGCGCCCCAGGCCCCGCCGCAGGGGCGAGTCATCCGGGAGCAGAGAGAGAAGCCCTGAGCCGTAGCAGAGGCTCCTGCATTTGTGCAGAGTCAGCTCAGGGTCAAGGCCGCAGCAGGGCCAGGGCAGGGAGTTAGTCACAAGTGGCAGAGCAGCCTCCCCTGGTAACGCCTCCCGGGTGGAGAGCTTCCAGCTTGGAATTTCTCTCCTCTCACTGCGGTGGGCAGCACCGACTCAACTGACGACAATTCTGTTTTCTAAAAATACGCTTTTATTGCCCTATCCGGTTTGGCTCAGTGGTTAGAGCATGGACCCACGGACTGACGGGTCCCGAGTTCGATCCTGCCCAAGGGCACATACCTTGGTTTGCAGGCTCGATGCCCGGCCCAGGTTGGGGCTTGTGCAGGAGGAAACCAATCGGTGTGTCTCTCTCACACTGATGTTTCTCTGTCTCTGTCTCTCTCTCCCCCTTCCACTCTCTCTGAAAAGCAATGGAAAAAATATCCTCCAGTGAGGATTTAAAAAAAAAAAAGCTTTTACTGATTTTAGAGAGAGGGGAGGGGAGAGGGAAAGAGAGACATCGATCGGCTGCCTCCTGCATACCCCCTACTGGGGATTGAGCCCCAAACCCAGGCCTGTGCCCAGACCAGGAACGGAACCCGCAGCCTCTCAGTGCACAGGACAGTGCTCGACCCACTGAGCCACACCGGCCAGGACAGAATTCTTATTTTCAGTTCTCTCTGGCTTCTCACCTTACAAACGGAGACCGGGTGCCCTAGCATTGGGTGCGGATGTGGATTGGTTCCTTCACACAGCCTCCTCCTGTGGCTCTCCTGTGGCTCCAGGGAGGAGTTTGAGGTTGGCTGCAGAAGTGGAAGGGAGATAGCAGGGCAGGGAGACCCCACTTAGATGTTAAACCACAGGATTCAAAGCGCACAGGGTCCAACAAGGCAAAACCAAAGGCTGTCAGGAGGGCGGGCCTGGAGAGGTCTGGGGGTCGCCAGGGGGCTGGCCCCGGACTTGGAGGAAAGGGCGGGCCCTGCGAGTCTCTGGGCATCTTGCAGCAGGGTGTGCCCGGGGCGGGTGGCGGGGACTGCAGGCCTCTCCCTGCTGCGTGGTCCACCTTGACGTTCCCCCAGCTGAGAACCTCAGCAGCCGAGCTGACTCCACGCTGCTCCAGGTGGACCTGGCAGGGGCCCTGGTGGCCGGCAGCCCGAGCCGTCCCGGGAGAGAAGAGCACGTGCTGGTGGAGGTGACGCAGGCCAGCGCTCCCGGCTCCAGGCGGCGGCCACAGCAGGTCACCCTTACACGTTATTTGAAAGGAATCCTAAAAACGCACCACATCTCTTTATAAGCTGACTTGCTCTTGAATGGACAGGAGAGGGAGCCTTTTGCTCTGTGTTTGAAATGCTTTCCCCCCCTTTTCTCTAAGTCAGTTACAACTCTCCCATTTCACTAAAACAGGCTTGTTTTTATTTTTAAAAAATATGTCTATTGATTTCAGAGAGAGGAAGGGAGAGGGAGAGAGAGAGAAACATCAGTGAGAGTCACTGATCGGCTGCCTCCTGCACCCCCCCTACTGGGGATCGAGCCTGCACCCCGGGCATGTGCCCAGATTGGGAATCGAACCGCAATCTCGTGTATCCTAGGTCGATGCTCAACCGCTGAGCCACACTGGCTGGGCTGCTTGTGAGTTTTTACTGAAACATTATATGCTTGGAACACATTTTTGTGTGTTCCCCTTTCACGGTAAGGGGCACCCAAGCACTCCAATCCCCTGGGCTGTGGACACTTGGCTGAGATGGCCTGTTCCTATGTCTTTGCTCAGTGTCTCAGAGCCTGAGCCTTCAGCTGGCATCCCCGGGAGGCCAGGAGAGCCCAGCCCAGGCCCACCCCCTCTGTGCAGGGACCTGTCCCGCAGTCCTGGCCTCGGTGACTCNGGTGCAGAGCCCAGCCCAGGCCCACCCCCTCTGTGCAGGGACCTGTCCCGCAGTCCTGGCCTCGGTGACTCCCTGGGTTACCACGGCGACTTCGCTATGAAGTCACGTCCCCTATTATGACCAATAGAAGGACGAGCTGCGGGGACACCAGGCTGTCATCCAACACTGAGCCTCCGACGGGCTAGGGTGCCCCCACCCCTCNCAGGAGAGCCCAGCCCAGGCCCACCCCCTCTGTGCAGGGACCTGTCCCGCAGTCCTGGCCTCGGTGACTCCCTGGGTTACCACGGCGACTTCGCTATGAAGTCACGTCCCCTATTATGACCAATAGAAGGACGAGCTGCGGGGACACCAGGCTGTCATCCAACACTGAGCCTCCGACGGGCTAGGGTGCCCCCACCCCTCCCTGCCACGCAGAGCGGGGTCCACAGAACAGGGTCGCCCTCTCCTGTGGCCGACACCGCGGTTTCACGGGCGACGTTGATGTTCTAAACCAGCGTCCCGGGTATGGTCCTGGGGCACAGCTGGCTCCCTGGTGCAGCTGGCTGGCGAGGGCTCTGTGGTGAAGACCAGGCGGGCGCCCCTCTGCCGCCCTGTCCGTGAGCCTTGGTGGTGGGGGCGTCACCTTTCACAGCCTGCCCACAGGCCGGCTGCGGGGCCCCCACAGCCCCAGCTCAGCTGCAGAAACACGGACACGCACCGTCTTCCCTGAAGGACTGTCCCGTGTGCTCTTCCCAGACACGGAAGTGCTTTGAGAATTCACACCTCTCATCCATGCTCTGACCAAGCCCGTCCCCAGTTTCAGTTTCCTTTGCGACCGTGGGCAGCAGGACCCCTGCCCTCCCTTGGAGAGTTCCCTGCCCTCCCCGCACTCTCCGCTCCCAGCTGCCCCTCATCAGGTCTCTTCACCACCCTGCTCAGGAGGGGACAGGACAGTGGCAGCAAATCCTGGGGCCCCTCCCATCTGCTCCAGTTTGCAAGCAGCTTTTTCTTTCTTCAGATTTCTTATTGATTTTTAGAGACAGTCAAGGAGAGGGAGAGACCGAGAGAAACATCAATGTGAGAGCACAATATGCATGGGCCTCCTGCGCGCCCCTAACTGGGGACGGAGCCTGCAACCCGGGCATGTGCCCTGACCGGGAATCAAACCGGCCACCTTTCGGTGCACAGATGACGCCCAACCCCCTGAGCCACACCGGCCAGGGTGGGTAGCACTTTCAAGCATTTCTCCTGCGTTGCCCAGAGGGCTCAGAGGACTCTTCTAAAACAGCCTCCAAAGGGCGGGAATTTCCAGCTCCGCACGGCCTGGACTGCTGTGGCGGGAGGTGGGCGTCGTGGAAAGGCCTCTCCGGTCCTCTCTTTTTCTTACCCTAAACACGCACCCACACGGCACAGCTCTGGATCCCGGAGACGGTCAAGTTCAAAGCCTCACCGCGGCCTTACACTTGGCCTTTTGCAGGTCACTCACAACTGGACGGTGCTTTTGAGCCCTCGGCGCAGCGAGCACTTGGTGGTGAGCAGGACCTTCGAGGTTCCGAGCAGGTGGGTCCCCGGTGGTCGAGGTTTTGGGGGAGGTGAGAAGTTTGAGCTGTGGGGCTCCGATTCTGGGGACAAATGGTGCCGGGTCAGTATGTTCCTTTGGATGAGATCCTCCTCCTGCACAGATGATGAACGCGGGACGTGGGAGGGGGTCACAGCCACATGCGGTTGGAAGCGACCATGTTGACCACAGGGCCCGTTCGGAAGCGTATGGTTTTTATAGCTTATGCTATGATTTCGTTACTGTCACGAAGCTCTACAAGGGGCGTTCTAGGAGATGTTAGGGCTCTTTCTCTTTTTTTTTCTTGTTAATCTTCACCAAGGATATTTTTTCCGTTGCTTTTCAGAGATAGGGGAAGGGAGAAAGGGAGAGAGAGAAACATCGATGTGAGGACACACCGATTGGTTGCCTCCCGCACGGACCGGGGCTGGGGACTGACCTGCTACCCAGTACGTGCCCTTGGCCGGAATTGAACCCGAGACCCTTTGGTGAGCTGGCTGGAGCCGTAACCACTGAGCCACACTGGCCTTTCCTTTAACTGAGGCCCCTCCACGTGACCTGCGCTCTTGGTTGCTCTGTGCGCTTGCTGGGGCTGCCCTATGAGTGCCACAGTGTTTAAATGTCACCTAAACAGAGAAACTCATGTCCCCAAGGCGCGTGTCTCCTGAGGCCTTTCTCCTTGGTGGGCAGAGAGCCGTCTCCTGTGTCCTCACACGGTCGTCCTTCTGAGTGTCTGTGTCCCGACCTCCTCTTGTAAGGACACCGTCCTATTGGATCAGGGCCACCAAGCCGCCTCGCTTTATTTACTCGCCTCTGTAAAGACCCATCTCCAAATGCAGCCACGTTCTGAAGTACTGCGGTTCGGAGGTCAGCATAGGAATTTGGGGGGACACAGTCAGCACATTGCTGGGTGCAGATGAGAAACGGGTTCAGGTTCGGCTGCCGTGGGCTGTCGACACCTCGCGTGCTTCTGGGGCTCCCCCCCTACCAGCGGCACCCAGTCTGTTCTCAGCTTGCACGTGGCCCTTCCCGGGATCCCTCGCGTGAGACAAGGCGGCTCCGCCGCTGGTGAGCAGGGAAAGCCGCGCGGGGTGTGGAGAGAAGTTAAATGGCTAGAACCAGCACGGTCGGCCCCGCTCCCCCTGAGCGGTTGGAGTGGCACCTGCAGTGGCCACGGGGCGGCAGTGTCCCACGTCAGCCCCTCACCCCGGCTCAGAGCCCCTCGCCTGCCAGGCCCGGGATCAGTGGGGCTCTGGCAGTGGCCACGGTTGCCTCGCCCGTGTGGGAAGGACCCAAGGGGGCAGCGTGAGTCGCGGGCAGCGGGTCCGTTTCCTCACCAGCGCTGAGGTCGTCGCTCCGTTCCGCAGGGACGGCGTCTCCATCAGCGTCCGGGCCGCCCTCCAGCAGCCCCGCGTGGTCCCCCTGCTGCTCGCGCACCAGCACCTCCGGGCCGGCGTGGGAGCCCAGGCGACCGTCGCCGCAGTCATCCTCGCCGGCGTCTACGTGCTGATCATATTTGAGGTGACCTGTGCGCCCATCCTAGACTCGTCTGTGCCCGCAAACGAGTGTCTTTCAATTAGCCGGGGGCTCCGGGTGGGCTCAGTCCCACCTCTCGGTCCCTTCACTGAGGAGTGATGTTTCCGTCATTTTAGGTAGAAAACTGTCCTGGCATTTCTGCTGAATCTTGGCAGCTGACACGCACAAGATGAGTGTGTCAGGTGCCAGCAAAACCCCGCCCCAGAAAACTGAACACGTGTGGTTTTCTCACCCAACTCTGCCACCCCCGTGAGACGTGACCTCTCTGGGCACAGGGTCTTCCCCTGTGAGGGGCACAGTGAGATGCCCGCCTGCTTCACAGGGTTATGTCCACGACGGCCTGGAAGCCTCTGGCTGGGTGCGCGAAGGGTTATCTGTTTGCTGATGCGCTTGGCTAAGTGCCCTGCATGGCTGCTCTCCTGTCCTGTGAATCTGCTCTTTTGGGGATACTCTAAGTGTGGCTCCCCATCGACGGCACAGAGCAGTGCCCAGGCGCCCGGCCCAGAGGCCAGGGTTTCCGTCAGCATCCGGGATCCACGTGCCAGTGACCCATCGGTGGGGCCAGATTCGTGGGGACACAGAGATCGGTGGCTCCAGAAAGTCCGTCCAGGGTGCGGCTCTGCAGGGTGTTTCTCAGGGAGCTTGGGTGAGACAACAAAGGGTGCAGCCAAGGAGACGGCTGTGCGAGGAATGTTCTAGAATGTGGCCGGGAAGGGTCCAGAAGTTTGCCTGCGGTGTCTAGTCTGCCTGGTGAGAAATGCTGGCTGCAGGGAGCCGAGCCCCCCGGGGTCCAGCCGAGGGCCCATCCTCCAGGCCCTGCTCCCGGCCTGGCCGCCAACCTCCAGGGCAGGGCTGCGCCACACCGCCCCCTAGTGGAAACCCCGCCGCATAGTCCTTGGGAGATTCTGCACCCGGATGGGGCTGATGGGTTCCCGGTGGGATGCATTTGTTACTCTGTCCCCGCGTTTCCTTACGGACCACAGTTTAGCTCTGAAGCCTTCGGGTACTGTTCTCAGGTCTGCTTACTTCACCAGTGTGCTGGGATTTGAGCTGTGTCGGGAGGAAGGGCCTGGTGCCTGGTGCCCCCTCTCAGAGACGCGGAGATTACTCAGTGAGCTCGGAGGGGCAGCCCGGCCTGTTGATTGCCGGCCTCGCTGGTATCTTTGCTCTGATGGTTTTACTATCCACCGGGACCACTGCCTGACCCAGTGACGTCACTCACTTTTACGATAAACTTCCCATCCTTTCGTCTGCGTCTATGAGTCATTCTGTATCGAAGACCTTTCCCCTACCCGGCTTTGTTAATGTGAAACACAGTTTAGGCCAGAAACACAGATACATTGGTTTTCTTTAATTATTGATTTTCGTGGTAATGAATTGTTGCCTCAGCAACTTCCAGGGATGTCCACCGGGTTCATTGCGTGTGTCTCTCCCGTTTTTCTGAATATCATGTTGAACTTAGGCATCTCATAAATTCAGTGTGCTTTAATCAGTTCAGTCACTAGTTATTAAAAAATACAGTCCAATGCCAATTTATTTTTGAAAAGACGTCTCTGCTCTTCTAGGGTTTATCATCTTTTTCGGAGGAATAATTTTATAGCCTTTGAAAATGACATAATTTGGGCCCTGGCCGGGTAGCCCAGTTGGTCGAGCGTCATCCCTGCTCCGCAGCTGTCCCTGGGAACCATCTCCTCTCGCTGAAAGGGGGCATTTACCCAAGAAACGCCAGGAGGGACGGACAGGACTCCACCGACTGGCCAGTTCCTCGCCCTCGGGGCACTCAGGTTGCTGCGCCATTTTTAAGTGAAAATAAGAATCTAGTTCTGACAACTCCTTATATTTAGGGGAATTAATCCCCACTTTATGAACTTAGGAATCTACTAGCATGGAATTTTGGAATGAGAAGGGCCCTTGAGGTCCCCTGACTCGACCTCCCTGTGTTCTTTTTTAAAAGTTGGTTTTCCCTGCGGAGCCGGGCTCCGTGGTGTGGACGAGCCACAGTTGACTTAGCCACTCACCCTGTGTGTTTTCTCTCCAATAAGCTTCTTCGCTTCTTCCAATGTGGGTAGGCTGATGATTTCCCCAGGTTTTAAGTTCTGATTCCTTTTTTTTCCCCCCTTAATCCTCAGGCAAGGATATTTTTTCCATTGATTTTTTAGAGAGCGTGGAAGCGAGGGAGGGCGAGAGAGAGAGAGACGTCGATGGGCGAGAGACACATGGATTGGTTGCCTCCCGCGCAGGCCCTGGAGGGCTGGGATCGAGCCTGCAACCCGGTGTAAATGCCTTGACCAGGAATCGAACCTGCAACCCTTCTGTGTGCGGCCAACGCTCCAACCGCTGAGCGCACCCGCCAGGGCCGTTCTGATTCCTTTCTGATGAACAACTCCATCTTCCAGTCATTTCCCTCCTCCCCGATTTTACTACACGTGGTCCAGGCGGCTCCTCCAAACCTTTGCTTAGACATTTCCTCAGCCAAACAACCAATTTCATCACCCACACGTTCTACCTTCTACGGGGACACGGACACCCCTCAGCCAAGCCCCGCGGCGCTTTATGACACGATCCTGATTTCTGTCTGAGGCCCATCAGAATGGCCGTAGCCATCAGCCTTCCTCCCGACATTCTGCTCGCGGGCACTCGGGGTTTCTCGGAGACCGAGGGCCTCCCTGCAGCTCCCCTCTTCGGAGCCCCCCCCAGAATTGCGTCCATGGCCCACCCCCAGCACGCTGCCTCCGCCTAGCCTGCAGCTGCTGGAGCCGACTCAAAACAAGCCTGGGGGCTTTGGCTAGAAATCAACGGTCAGGATTTAGTCAAGGGTCTTAGGATTTGCACACCGGGAACACGGCGAGGCAACACCCAGGGGCGGAAGGAAACGCTGGGCGTTCTTCCCGTGGAAAGCGCAGCCTTGAGAAGACGGCCCTGCGCCCCAGCCGCGGGGTGGGTCCGAGTGGTGGCCCTCGGGATGACCAGTGGTCTGGATAACGGATGTCGGTGGTTGGAAAGAGCAAAGCGCAGGAGCGATTTCATGGGCTGTAGCCTAAGTTCACCCGCCCTGGGCAAGCCAAGCCCGCCCGGCGGTTGCGATGGGCCATCCTCAGGGTCCGATTTCTTAACCTCGAGCCACTGAAGGCCTGGACTTTGGTTTGCTTACCTGTGCCGCTGACGCATTACGGCCACTTCAGCCTAGTGGCCCCTCGTTCAGTTAACTGAACAGGACCTATGCTGGCATTTCTCCCGGGGGGATTTCTGGGGGTGAAATTGCTGGGTCCTATGATAAATTTGTTTAACTTTTAAGGAAACCGCCCAACAAGCCTCCGCAGTGGCTACACCGGTTCACATCCCCCACCAGCAATGTTCGAGGGTTTCAATCTCTCTGCGTCCTTGACTTTCCTCAAATTTGGTCTAAAAAAAATTCCCAGGTCCATTGGAAATTATAATTAAATAGAAAAGCTACTGTTGTGATTCAGCGGCAACACTGAAGTCTCAATTAGGTTAAGCGTTTGGCCGTGTACCTTCGGTTTAATAACAGTCCCCGTAATTGGGCAGAATTGATTTATGTTGTGGAACTAACGGTCCGTTGCCTGGGGACTGGAGGGTAAATAATGAATGACAATTGACCGCGGGCTTCCGTGGAGGACGCTCTCTACCCGCCTCCCGTTTCTACGCGAGGGGCATCTAACTACTCGGAAATAAAAGCGACGTGGTGGCTGTGTGGGCTTCAGGGTGCCCAGTTTCTGAAACAGCGAGACCCCGATTTAGCCACGACCTTCATGGATGCAGCGCAGAACGGCCACGCCGACCGCTGCTCATGCAAACACAGGCTCCGGTGTGTCTTAAATCCCCCGCGGACCGCAGGGTATTCATTTCCTCCGTCTCTTTCCAGATCGTGCACAGGACCCTGGCAGCCATGCTGGGCTCCCTGGCGGCGCTGGCGGCTCTGGCTGTGACTGGCGATGTAAGTGTGACACCTCCCGCGGCGGCCTCACCCCGGGCGGCACGTCAGAGTGGGAGACGGCTCAGGCATTGGGCGTGGGCCGGTGTTTTCACTGTTTTATAGACTATTTCCACATGCCCCCCCTCGGGAACTAACACCCTTTCTTTATTTTCGGCTAATCCTCCCTGGAGGATATTTTTTTCCATTGATTTTTAGAGAGAGTGGGAGGGAGAGAAACGTTGATGTGAGAGACGCGCTGATTGGTTGTGTCCAGCACGTGCCCCCACCTGGGCCGGGGATTGAACCTGCGACCCTTGGGTGCAGAGGCCGATGCTCTAACCACTGAGCCACGCCAGCCGGGGCAGAACTAACAGACTTTATGGCTTTGAGGAGTATTTCCTTTGATTTTCTCTCTCTCTCTCCCTCTCTCTCCCTCTCTTACACACACACCAGCAGTGTCTTCTCCATTTTAGCTGAGGGAAGGCCGTGGGGTCGCATTTGCCCCTGGGTCACATACGGGGGGGTGTTCCAGCCCCAGGTGCTGTCAGCCTTTGGGGACCAGAGGAGGCCTTCCTGGCTGGAACAAAGGGGGGGTTCTGTGCAGACATCGGGGTGATGCAAGCTGGGGTGACGGCACCCTGTCGGGGGTCTGAGCCTGGCCCACGTGGCAGGGACGAGGGGATGGCTGTAGGGACGTGGGGGTGAGCGTCGGGACGGAGGGGGGCTGAGGGCCCACTGCAGGCGGAGGCTGCGGCTGTTGGAGGGGAAATGCAGGAACCGACCAAGGCGGCCACACCCAGAACTGGATTTGAAAACACCTCTGTAGACTCCAAAAGCTTGTTCTGAAAACTGCTGTTAACGGCCAGGCAGTAACCAAACAACCATATCTGGTTTGCAAAATTGTCCTGACCAGGGAGCTCGGTGGGTTAGAGTGTCATCCCCATATGCCAAGGGTGCGGGTTCGATCCCTGGTCAGGGCACACGCAGGAACCCGCCAACCGGGCATGAGTAAGCGGAACGGCAAATCCGTGTTTCTCCGTCTCTCCCCCTTTCTCTCTCTCTGAACTCAATAAAATAAAAGGAAATTCTTTGCCATTTCGCTGAGTGCACAGGCCTGACGCCGGGGCGCTTTGGGTCGCGGGTGGCTGTCGGCGGTGACGTCCTCCGACTCCAAGGGCAGCCTGTGGTTTCCGAGTCCGGCCCAGGGCGGGTGGGGCGAAGGCGGGGTGTTCACAGCTGGCCCCCCGAGAGGCGCTGTGGGATTCACTGGCCCATTCCCTTCGTTGCAGAGGCCCAGCCTGGCGCACGTGGTGGAGTGGATCGATTTCGAGACCCTGGCCCTGCTGTTCGGCATGGTAATCACGGCCCCCCCACCGGGACGGGCGCTTTGCTCCCCGCTGCTGCTGCTAACCCTTCACTGTGCCGGAGCCCGGCTGCCGGGCAGCGAGCGCTCGGCTGAGACGCGTTCGTGCAGGTCGAGCTAACTGCCCCCGAGTTCGGTGCCCGGGTTAGTCTGATAGCGAAGTAGCATTGCCGTTTAGAAAACCAGCAGGTTCGCTGAGTTACTGCCCTTAAAACAGGAAATGAAATATCCCAAAGTAATAAGCCAGGTAAGTTCCGGTGATTGGGGAAGGACCTGTACTTATACGGGTATAGGAGGAAATCACCCCTAAATAACAGCTTGTGTGTTTGCCAGTTTATCAGACAGTGTCCAGGGCACCGGTAGGTGGGATTGGACAAGGGCCTGGACGCAGTGGGGCTGGCTCGGGTCGGGCAGATCCCACGTCAGCCGAGTGGTGGGTGGGCTCCTGGAACAGTCACGACGCCTGGTGTTGCTGTGAACAGAAGACGGAAAGATAAGGCCCGTGGGGCACGTTCCCTGGGCCAGACCTTCCGGCAAGGGGCTCCGCGCAGGGTCTCTGAGCGGCGCCTGCTCAGCAAACGCAGGAACCTGGCGACGCGGCGGTTCCCCTGGGGGCCGGGGCTCGGGCGGGACCGGCCGCTCCGGGGTCAGTCGGGACGCTGCTGAAGCTGCCCCCTTGTCTCTCTTTTCTGTTCTCTCCGCAGATGATCTTAGTGGCCATCTTTTCAGAAACCGGGTTTTTTGATTACTGTGCCGTGAAGGTAGGTTCCATGTGGCCTTTAATAATTAAGTATGAATTACCTGATTGTTTATTATCCGCTGTTACAAGTTTAGTGAGCAAAACTACTATTTAAAGCAAATATTTTAAAATTCCACCCTCTCGCCCTGGCCGGGTGGCTCAGCTGGTGGGAGTGTTGTCCCGGGCGCCCGAAGGTCACGGGTTCCATGCCCCGTCAGGGCGCGTTTGGGAGGCAGCTGATCGATGTTTCTCTCTCACATCAATGGTTTTCTCTCTCTCTCTCTAAAAAAAATCAATAAAGAAAGAAAAAGATCCCGCCCCGCTTTGGAAGGCACTTGCCTCTGCAGGGCTGGGGGCCGTCCTGGGCCGAGCCCGCGGCCCCCGGGAGCACCCCCAGCCTCTCCACGAATGGCCGACGGAGGCCAAGGACAAGCGCTTGGGTTGAACATTTGTGTAAATTATTGAAACTGGCAGGTTGAGAGCTGCACGGCAAAGCTGTTCTGTGTTTCAGAGCATCTAAATATTTCAAGTCACCAGCTTCTGATTCCTTTTTATTTTTATTTTTTATTTTTATTGATTTAAAAGAGAGGAAGGGAGAGGGAGAGAGAAATATCAATGATGAGAGTCACTGATCGGTTGCCTCCTGCACGCCCCGCCCCGCCGGGGGGGGATTGAGCTCAAAACCCCAGCTTGTTTTTTTTGTGTTTTTTTAAAAAATACATCTTTATTGATTTCAGAGAGAGGAAAGGAGAGAGAGAGAGAGAGAGATAGAAACATCAATGATGAGAGAGTCATCAATCGGCTGCAGCCGGCAACCCGGGCCTGTGCCCTGACCGGAAATCGAACCCCGATCGCCTGGATCCTGGGTCAACGCTCAACCGCTGAGCCACGCCCGGCTGGGCAGGAATCTGGGGCTTTATGGTTTTTAATTTAATGTATTTCTATTGATTTTTCGAGAGAGAGGAAGGGAGAGGGAGAGAGAAACATGGATGTGAGATTGGAACATCAATTGGCTGCCTCCTGCCCCCCCCCAGTGAGGATCGAGCCCGAGTCCTGGGCCTGTGCCCTGCCCAGGAAGCAACTGGTGGCCTTTCGGTGCATGGACACCACTCAACCAACTGAGCCGCACCGGCCAGGGCTGAGGGGCTCGGTTTGCTCCACCGTGCGGTGTGCATTTGGATCCCTGGCTCTCAGAGGCCCCGTGGAAAGCCGCGCCTGTTCTCGCCCTGCTGACCCTGGCTTGTCCCTTCCTCCCTGCGCCTGTCCCAGGCCTACCGGCTGTCCCGGGGGCGGGTGTGGGCCATGATCATCACGCTCTGCCTCTTCGCCGCCGTCCTCTCCGCCTTCCTGGACAACGTCACCACGTCGCTGCTCTTCACGCCGGTGACCATAAGGTACGCAAAGTGACCCGCGTGGGCGTCAGGCCGGGCTCGCTGGGACGCCTACCAGTCAGGGGACTCGGGCCTTGCTGTCCTGCAGGGACGCACTGTCAGGGGCCCAGAGCTCTTGTCCTCACGTCCCCAGCATTGGTCACAGGCATGGTGGAGCAGCTGGAGAGCCCTCACCCACCCTGGCTCATGCTGGGGAGACGGAGGGGAAACGGGTGCCCCCTGGGGTGCTTTGGCTGAGTTTGAATTTGCTGTGGTTCCCTTGGGAGACCAGCTGGGGAAGGAAGCAGGTGGGTGGGCTCCAGGGCCTGCCCTCCACATGGTTCTCAGGGGACTGTGCTGCCCCCAGAGCTGTCGGGGGGGGGGTA